TTTTAATTAAGGTTCATTGCTTAGTTTTGTACACAAAATTGCACTATTACTACCTTGGTGCATAAGATGCACTAATAAACTTTCTTCACTTAATCTCAACTTATATGAATGAGTAAATAAATAAACTAACTTCTTCGCTCAACTCCAATAATATATAGGTGAGAAATAAAATCATGAAACATGCTCAATAATTATAACTTTAACTCTTTTAACCATACATAAGTCTTACTTATTAAATTCATGCTTTCTTGATACTTGAAAATAAAACATACTTCCATGATTCATACATATTTAGCTTATATCATGCCTCAAATAACATGATCACATGCTTGCATAATAATTCATGATCAACCCACATCAATTCCAAGCATATAATCAACCAAACATGCTAATATTTCATCACTTCAAACACACTTTACAATCCTAGCATGATACTACGCATACACAAATATTTCTATGCGCATACGTACCTTGAATAGTGCCTAAACTCGGTCATAATCGCTAGAAATCACCTATCTCAAAGCTTCCTACAAATAAAAATACATAAATATAATTAATTTACTATTCTTGCAAATTTCCATCAACTATAATATACTTTAAACCTCACTATTTAACCATTTTTATGCTTTCAAAAAGACTTAGTTTTCATGACTTAAATAAAATTTCAACACACTTATTTAATATAAAACATTACTAATAGACTAGGAAATCATATTTAAATCATCAAGAATCTTTTTCCTTTTACGGGAAATCAAACCCTAACATCATAATTATAAAGTAGTGTGTATAATTAAATTCCAACATCAATTGAGGGATTAAAATTCATTAAAAACATGTTCTAATCATTAATTTAACAATCACAACAACCTAGGATCAAACCCTAATCATAAATATTAAATTCCCAAATTCTAGGGTTTGTAAATTGGGGGCTTTTGATTAAATTAAATCTGAAAATCAAAGGAATAAATTAACCACATCAACTACCCAAAATTAACAACAAAATAAAATCAAAATCATGCTTTGAATTAATTAAAACAACTTAGAAGTTAAATTAGGAGAAAAGAGTTTTTTTTCTTTAAATACCAAACTACCAAAGAGAGGAGAAAGGAGGGCACATGGCGACGGCAAGTGGTTGCCGGTGCTGCTACTGGCCGTCAGTGGTGGCGCTGGTGGTGCTTGGAGAGGAGGAGAGAAAGGCGTGAGAAAGAGAGGAAAAAGGAGAGAGAAAAATAAGAGGAAAAATTGGGTTTTCTTTCAAATGTGCGACTCAATTCTTCAGTAATACGAAGTCAAATGTTCGAAAATGCAGCAGCAAGCTCTGGGCGCAAAAAAAAGCGAAGCGAGCCTCTATCAGAGAAAGTTGGAGCCAAGGAATCTCCCCAAACTCTATCTATCGTGCTGTCAAATTGAAAATTGTAGTAGCCGTGGCCAAGGGTTTTGTAAAATCTGACAATTTGATTTTTGAGTGTGAAATTCTTGAGATTTTGGGGTATTTATATCCTTTTTAAAAAACAAAAACACTTATTTACAAAACTGTCATTACTAATCCTACTCCTCCTTGAATTCTCCTTTGAGGCCAACTTGTTGGGCTCTTAAGAACTCTTTGATTCCTAATAAGTTGATCCAACAATTTAATTGATGTTGACCCAAATTAAAACACTTCATTTCCCCAATTAATAACTCATATTATTTTATACACACTTATTTTATATTTAAATAATTAATTCATTTAAAATTAAATGAATCATTTTAATTTATAATTTAAATAAATAATTTTTATATATATATAATATTATAAAAATACAGAGTATTACAGTCTGCCCCCTTAAAAGAAGTTTCGTCCTCGAAATTTGAGCACAAAAATAATAAAACTTTGTTCAAAACTTGCTTAAAATTGCACTTTTTCACCCACTTAGTAAAAAATCTTCTTAATACTTATAGTTGTTGTACTTTTTGTAATCTTTCTTGTTCTCTTTCTTTCTAAACTTTGTATAAAATTGTGCAAAATATACTAAAAATGCACAAAAATGCTTAAAATGAAGGTAAAAAGCGCGAAATTCTATTGCATTCTACCCCCCTTAAAGAAAACGAGTTACGACCCCGTAACTCAACTAATCTCAAACAATTCTAGGTACTTTTTTCTCATTTCATTCTTAGCTTCCTATGTCGCTTCCTCAGGTTCTTGATTCGACCACAAAACCTTTACTATCTTTATATCCTTCTTGCGTGTACTACACACTTTATTATCAATAATGTTTACAGGTCTTTCCTCATAGGTTAGGCTTTGGTCTAGCTCTATGGTTTTAGGTTGTAAAACATGCGACTTGTCTGGGATGTACCTTCTCAACTGAGAAACATGAAACACATCATGTACCTTATTAAGGTCCATACGCAATGCCAATCTATAAGCAACTTTACCTATCCTTTGCAAATTCTCATATGGTCCAATGTACTTTGAACTCAATTTCCCCTTCTTTCCAAATCTCATGACTCCATTCATTGGTGATACCTTAAGTAATACTTAGTCACCAACTTCAAATTCTTCTTCTCTACGAGTAACTCTTTTGTCTGTCTTGAGCAGATTGAATCTTAGCTTGGATTTCTCTCACTTGCTTCGTGGTTTCTTTTATTTGAGGACCTAGAATTATTGTGTGACTTATGTCACTACAACATAGTGGACTTCTACACTTCCTTCCATACGGGCCTTAAATGGTGCCATGTCAATACTTGCATGGTAATTATTGTTGTAAGAGAATTCTATAAAGTCTAAGCTATCTTCCCATCCTCCTTGGTAATATAAAACACATGACCTTAACATATCTTCCAAGGTTTGGATAGTTCTCTCATATTGTCCATCCGTTGCAGGGTGGAATGTTGTACTCATCTTCAATGTCGTACCAAAGTTTTCCTGGACACTTTTCCAAAATTTCGAAAGGAACCTAGAATCCCTATATAAAATGATATCCTTAGGAACTTCATGTAGTCTCACAACATTTTTTATGTAAGCCTTTGCAAGTTGTTCCATTTTCCAAGTCTCCTTCATTGGTATAAACACTGTCGTTTGGTAAGTCTATCCACCACAACCCAGATGCAATCCCACTTCCATGTTGGGATCTCGAGTGGTTGCACTGTTCCCCGTGGTCTCTTATGCACTATCTTAACATTTTAACAGGTTAGGCATTTGGCTACAAACTTCGCCACTTCTAACTTCATCCTAGGCCGCCAATACACCTTTTTCAAATTTTTATAAAGCTTATCTCCTCCTAGATGTATTGAATAGGGTGTATTGTGTCCTTCTTCCATCAACTTCTTCTTCAATTCCTAACACTTTTTGTGGTACACACCACCTCCCCTTAAATCGTATACTACCATCATCATGGATTCTGAAATCAATCGCCTTCCCTTGTTTTATATTGTCCCTTATGCGATCTAATTTCACATCTCCTACATGGTTATCCTTAATCTCATCAAATATCGTTGGTTGGATACTTAAATTATTCAGCATTCCTTCCAACACTCCATATGGTACTTCCTCGAAGTTTAACTTACTCATTTCTCTGCAAAGCTCATCTACCACTACCAAAGAGTTCACTCCATGAGTCGCTTTACGACTCAAAGCATCCACGACTACATTTGCTTTACCCTCGTGGTATTGGATGTCTAAGTCATAGTCATTGAAGAACTCTAACCACCTATGTTGTCTAATGTTCAATGTTGATTGCGTGAAAAAGTACTTCAAACTCTTATGATCAGTGAATATCCTACATTTCACTACAAAAAAATGTCCTTATAGAAACGGAATTCTAGCAGTGGAATTCAATACGTTTCTAAATTAGAGACGGAATTAAAAAAAATCTGTCTATAAAGTAGAAATGGAATTGAAAATCCTTCTCTAAATTAGAAACGGATTTTTTTTCCGTTGCTAAATTTAGAGACGAACTTTTTTCCCCATTGAGACGGATGTTTTTTTTATTCCATTGCTGATATAAGCGACGGATTTTTAATTCCGTCTCTAATTATTTTCGAAACGAATTATGTAAACTAAAATCTTTCCCTAAACTAGAAACGGATTTTCCAATCAGTCTCTGAACTAGAGACGGATTTGAAAATCTGTCTCTGAACTAGAGACGGATTTGAAAATCTGTCTCTGAACTAGAGACGGATTTAAAAATCCGTTTCTAAACTAGAGATGGATTTTAAATTCCGTCTCTAATATTTCTTTCGCTTATTATAAATTATGTGTATAGAAGTGAACAAATTATATTTGGTATAGTTGGTAAGAGTCACTATGTGACTTTGAGGTCACGGGTTCGACTCCTACCTATTGCGATTCTTGAGATTGGGGATTCAAGGAGCCTTACATGCAAACCTGAGTCGGGTTGACCCAAGTGAGGTTGAACCGAATAGCATCTACTTTTAGACACAAAATTATTTTTTTTGTTGCTAAATTTAGAGATAGATTTTGTTTTCCGTTGCTAAATTTAAAGACGGATTTTTTCCATTGCTAAATGAGCGACGAATTTTTTTTCCATTGCTAAATTTAGAGACGGATTTTTTTTTCGTTGCTAATACCAGCGACATATAAAAATAATCCGTTGCTAAAACCAACGACGGAAATAAAAATTCGTTGCTCAAACCAGTGTCGGAAATAAATATTCGTTGCTATGTTCAGCACCGGAAAACAAATACGTCGCTAGTCTCATTTAGCGACAACAGTTTTGCCAACGGAGTAATTCCGTTTCAAAATCTGTCGCCACCTATATTTAGCGACAGAAAAAGTACAATTTAGCAACGGATTTGATCTGTTGCTAAATGTCTATTTTTTTGTAGTGTTTCATCCATACAAATAATGCCTCCATATTTTCAACATAAACACTATCACTGCAAGCTCTAGATCATGAGTAGGGTAGTTAACTTCATGTTTCTTCAATTGTCTCGATGCATAAGCAATCACCTTTTCATGTTGCATCAAAACACATCCAAGTCCATTCTTAGATGCATCACTATACACATCATAAAAACTACTCCCATCAGGTAAGGTTAACACTGGTGCTATTGTAAAACTTTCTTCAAGGTTTGAAATGCTTCCTCGCACTTATCACTCCATATGAACTTAGATTACTTCTTCATCAATGAAGTCATAGGTCTAGCTATCTTTGAAAAGTCCTTCACAAATCGCCTGTAATATCGAGCTAGGCCTAAGAAACTTCGAATATCCGACACATTCTTGGGTGTAGGCCACCCCTTCACAGCTTCAATCTTTTTAGCGTCTTCCACTCCTTTCTTAGATATGAAATGTCTCAAAAATACTACCTTCTCCAACCAAAACTCACACCACGAGAATTTGGCATATAACTAGTTAGTCCTTAAAGTAGCTAACACTGATCTCAAATGCTCTGTATAGACCTCTTTATTCTTTAAATAAACCATATAGGGTTTCGTAGTGACCCGACACTACGCGGAAGGAAACCCACCAAGACCCGCCCCTTAATTAAAATAATTAACAAGCATATTAAACTTAATCAACCAAGATTAAGAACAAGAATTATACCTTTGTCGCGTGCTTCGCTCCCAAAGAGCTCTTACTTCAAAATCCCGAAAACACGAGATCTCCGACGGATCGTACCCTCGACCCAACCCGAGCGTCCTAAGTCTTGAAGGTTAGTCAAGACCCGGACAAAATAACTATGAGTTTTACGAATCAAAGGTTTACTCTTAATTAGAGTTGCCTTTTTAATTCCACTCAAGGTTGTTCATTCCCAAATACCCAAGCTTGGTATATATAGGGAAATGAACCCTTGTTTTTTCATCCTCCACCAATGTGGGAGTGTTGAATATCAATGATTTATTTAATTTCCAAATTAAATAAATAATCAAGTTAATCACGTTTCGACAAGTGGCTTGATCATATGCAAAAGAGTGGTGGCCAAGGTTAGGTGGGGGACCATATGCCTTACTCCCCAAGGCCTTGATTTGGTCCCCACATCCTATGCACAAAACCGGGTCAAGGAAGGCTAGCTGGGTGCCAGCTAGCGTGCCAGCTAGGGCTGCCAGCTAGCACTGCCTTGCTGCCCAGCACCCCAGCCAGCCAGCCAGTGCGTGCTGCTGCTAGGCTGGTGCTGGTGTTGTGTGCTGGCACTGGTGCGTGCTAGCGCTGGTGCTATGCCTCGCATCTCTCGCACCATTACTAGCATGGCCAGCATGCGTGCTTCTAGCTAGCCACGCATGCTGTCCCCTTTCCCTCGCATCATGCTACGCACCACGCACTACGCAGCACGCTACGCAGCACGCAGCACGCACTACTCGCACACTAGCCGGTGCCTAGCACTGTTATGCTTGGTGCGAGGCACGCACACACGCACATGCACATGCGCCAGTGCCCAGCACTGCGATGGCTGTGCTTGGTACGTGTGTGGCCCTGCCATGTGCACCCAGACACCCATGCTAGCACGCTGCTAGCTGCGATGGGCTGCCTGGTGCTTGTGGTGCTTTGCGATAGGCTGCTATGCGCACCCAGGCATCCATGCTAGCACGCTGCTAGTTGCGATGGGATGCCTAGTGCTTGTGGTGCTTTGCGATAGGCTTCCATGGCACGCCTAGGCTGCGATGGTGCACCTAGGCTGCGATGGTGCGCCTAGAGCTTGCGATGGGCTGCTATGGCACGCCTAGGCTGCGATGGTGCGCCTAGGCTACGCCTAGCCACGCTAGGTGCATGCTAGCTGGAACTAGCCTAGCATCCACATGGCTAGGCCAGTGTGTTGCTAGGGCTATGTTCATACTTGTCGCTTAATGATTTTGCGACGCTCGGTCTCGACGCCCTAGGCTCGATATCCGACGTCTGTATTCGTAAAACTCTGTCGACTCATTAAATCCTTTCGGATTAATTCGTCATCTCGGATCGGTGATTCGGTTGGGTTCGACCCGAAGGGTTCAGTTAAGATTAAGCTGTAACATCAACTGTACATTGATATTACTGATTGGAAGCGGCCTCCACCTAGGCATTCCAATCACTTGACCTTACTGAAGAATTAGCTCCGTAATAATTCTGAACCCTCTATCGGAAGAATACACTTGTTGGAAGGACACCATTCCTTTCAATCTCCCACTTGTCCTTCCGAACAAGTGTGCATACAGTGTATAGCCAATTTCCTATGTCACTTAATGTTTCTTCGTGAACTATAAGGTAAGATTTTTTGTCATCCTTATTACGTTCAAAAGTGTTTCTCGATCTCCGAGTTCGACTGTCAATAAGCAGATGATTTCTAAAATCCATCTGAGCACGGCCATGCATTTTCACAGTCTCGCTTTTCGAGTGGCCTTGTAAACAACAAAACATTTTCCCTATTGTTAGTAGGGGGACAATCCCAGTCTTGTATTGTAAGTTCCTCTTACTAAGAGGACATAATCTCCTGAGTTTTCCCGTTATGATCCCCAGTTACGGCAGACGTTAGGAAACATCAAAGAGTCTAGTACTTAAACAAGAAAACTTCACAATACTCA